ATTGTCAAGATCTTTCACATCCTTGGTTAAATTTATCTATTATGAATGAGACTGATCTTGCAAGTTCTTTTTCAGTCATGGCATTGTTAGTATATACAAATGGTACTGATTTTTGTGTGTTGGTTTTATATTCTGCAACTTTTCCAAATTCCCTTATGAGTTCCAGTAGTCTCTTAGTAGAATAGTTAGGGTACCCTTTTTATAGGATCATGTTATCTGAAAACAGGGATAATTCGACTTCCTTTCCAATTTGTATGCCTCTGATTCACTAGGCCATAAAGCAAGTCTAAACGAATTTAAAAATAAAATCATACTGTATATCTTCTCTGACCACAATGGATTGAAATTGGAAATTAATAACATAAGAAAGCTTAGAAAATATACTGGGGGACTGAACAACATGTTCCTGAATGAACAGTGGGTCATAGAAGAAATCAAAAGGGAAATTTAAAAATCCCTTGAAATGAATGAAGATGATAACACAACATATCAAAACTTACCAGATACAGCAAAAGCAGTGGAAAGTTTAGAGCAGTTAGTGCCTGCATCAAGAAATTGGAAAGGTATCAAATAAATGATCTAACAGTGCATCTCAAGGGCTTAGAAAAACAAAAACAAATCAAATCAAAATCAGTGGAAGGAAAGAAGTAATAAAACTTAGAAAATAAATAAATGAAATTGAAATTAAAAAATAAAAGAGATCAGTGCAGTGAAGAGCTGGTGTCTTAAAAAAATAAAATTGATAAACCATTGGCCCAACTAATCAAAAAGGGGGATGGAGAAGACCCAAATTAATAAAATCAGAGATGAAAAAGGAAATGTTACAATGGACACCACAGAAATGGAAAGAATCATCAGAAATTAGTACAAATAGTTATCTGCCAATTGACGGTATTAAAAAAAAATTCAAAAAGAAAAGGAAGACTTTTGACAATAAGTTGGAGGTGGAAGTGATATGGCAGTGCTGAAGCAGTAAAGTATACTGTCTCTTGTTTAGGAATAGGGTAGAGATTCTGCATAAATTTAGTCATTTTTAAAAAATTTTATTTAAGGTTTATAAACTTCATGCATTTCATGTATACAAATTTAGAAAGATAGTGATTCTTCCCACTCTCCCTCCCGCCCTGCATTCCAACCCTTCTTCCTCCTAAATTTAGTCTTTAATAAAAAATGTTACAGGCCGGCGCCGCAGCTCACTAGGCTAATCCTCCGCCTGTGGCGCCGGCACCCCGGGTTCTAGTCCCGTTTGGGGTGCCGGTTCTGTCTCGGTTGCTCCTCTTCCAGTCCAGCTCTCTGTTGTAGCCTGGGAAGGCAGTGGAGGATGGCCCAAGTGCTTGGGCCCTGCACCCGCATGGGAGACCAGGAGGAAGCACCTGGCTCCTGGCTTCGGATCGGCGCAGCGTGCCAGCCGTATCTGCTATTTGGGAGGTGAACCAACGGAAGGAAGACCTTTCTCTCTGTTTTTCTCTCTCTCTCACTGTCTAACTCTGCCTGTCAAAAAATAAAATAAAATAAAAAATGTTACAGAGAATTATGTTTAAAAATACACAGTCACTGTAGCATATAATACCTAAATCTTGCAAACAAGTAGAAAGCAAAAGGGAATATATAAACCTTTATTGGCCAGCACCGTGGCTCAATAGGCTGATCCTCCGCCTTGCGGCGCCTGCACACCGGGTTCTAGTCCCGGTCGGGGCGCTGGATTCTGTCCCGGTTACCCCTCTTCCAGGCCAGCTCTCTGCTATGGCCCGGGAGTGCAGTGGAGGATGGCCCAAGTGCTTGGGCCCTGCATCCGCATGGGAGACCAGGAGAAGCACCTGGCTCCTGGCTTCGGATCAGCACGATGCGCTGGCCACAGTGCGCCGGCCGCGGCGGCCATTGGAGGGTGAACCAACGGCAAAAAAAGGAAGACCTTTCTCTCTGTCTCTCTCTCTCACTGTCCACTCTGCCTGTCAACAAAACAAAACAAAAACCTTTATCAATCCAAATGAAAGTAAGAAAGGTGGAGGAGGAAGGTCAAAGAAAAACTGTGGTAAATTGAAACTCAAAATAATCACAGCAAAATAAACATTGTTATAGTACCCAGTATCTAAGTGCTTGGGATTGAGTTCCACCTCTGCCTCTGCTTCCACTCCAGCTTCCTGCTACTGCGCACCATGGAAGGCAGCAGATGATGCCTCAAGTATTTGTGTTCCTGCTACCCATTTGGGAAACCTGGATGGATTCCTGGCTCTTGACTTCAGGCTGGCCAAGCCTGGGCTATTCAGGCTATTGCAGGCATTTTTGAACCAGCATCTGGAACATTCTCTCTCTGCCCCGCCCCCATCAAGTAAATATAGAATTTAAAAAAAAGGAACAAGATTAGTTATACTTGAAATATCTCTCACTTCACCTAGCTACTGATAACAACAAACAGTGTTTCTCAAGGGTAGTGGATGAGCTTCCTTTTTTTTTCTTAAGATTTTTCATTTATTTATTTATTAAAGAGGCAGAGCTACAGAGATAGGGAGACAGAGAAAAAGGTCTTCTACCCGCTGGTTTACTCTTCATATGGCAGAAAGAGCCGGAGCTGGGCTTATCCGAAGCCAGGAGCTTCTTCCAGGTCTGCCACATGGGTATAGGGGCCAAAGCACTCAGGCCATCCTCCACTGGCCTCCCAGGCCATAAGCAGAGAGCTGGATCAGAAGAGGAGCAGAAGGGACACAAACTTGTACCTACATGGGATGCCAGTGCCATAGGTGGCAGCTCAATCTACTATGCCACAGCACCAGCCCCAGAGCTTCTTTTTCATTTAGCAGTTATGCTTATTGATTGTAAATTCAACTGATTAAATTACTCAGTCCTTCCACCACCAAGTAGCTCTATAGATTTTAAGGATATCGGGGTGGGGTGGGGGCTACTCCAATTAACTATTAGTGCCAACTACCATTATATACAAAAAGAAAATGAACTAAAAATGATATGAAATGGAAAATTAATGGCAAGAATTTTTGTGATAATGAAATCCCTTATATTTGTATTCTGATTTAGGTTTGCTTGTCTCTGAAAGTATATCTGTTCACACTTTGGATCCTATCCCAGGGCCTTAAAGTACAAACTGCTTAGCCAAAGTTAATCATAGCTCTAAAAGCCAAGGCCACATTGCAGACCCATGGTGTATTTTAGTGTGTCATTATTTACTGGCAACCTGGACAGGCTTACTTGGCCTGTGCTGTTGCCATCCCAACCCCCCTCCTTTCCAGAATCCTATTTTACATTCAGTTTTCACATTTTATGGTTTGTTTATCTTTCCTCTTCTCCTAGGAAGCTGCTATTTTCTTTCTGCAGAAAGGATTGAGAAATGATTGAGGAAAGAAAAAAAAAACACACAGTTTAGAGATATTTAGGAACAAAAATTAACATTTGAGTTAAAAACGTTTTTTTGGTTATTTTCACATTGTTCATGTATTTAAAGTGTTTTGATTTGCTCATAAAATCCTGCATGACTCAAGATACTGCTTTGTAAAATTTGTAGTATTCTCTTTTACCTTGTCTGTCCTAGATCTATTGTTTTTCTCTCTTGGCTCTTTGATGAGATTCTAGAGGCTGATACTTAACAGAGAGTTGTTTCCTAGCCTCTATGACTAGATTGACCATGATTTCAATCTCAGTTTAACTTCAGTGATCTACTTGATAGAATGGGACAGGTGGACATACTGCTGACCAGCATCTGATTGGGGAGGGCAGAGGCTGGTGATGGATGATCATGTCTGGTGACAAAATAAGCAGTTCCATGAATATGAGTGTGCAGGGTAAAATTGATACCAGCAGATGGTGGGGCTAGGCTGTATCTTATTTCTTTCTCGGTTCTGGGATTTGCTGTTGCCATCTTTTCACAGAAGCCAGCTGGGGTTGTCCGTTAACTGCTAGCACCCATTTGTTTGAGTCAGAGGCACTTGTTGCTTTCTTTAGAATTTGTTCAGCCTCTTGTTTCTGTTCACTTGATCATAAAACATATTCAAAAGCAGAATACTTGTCTGAGAACTGACCTTTCCTTGGAGAACATGCCAGTTATTCCCTGTTTCCACAATATGATTACATTTTGAAATGTGGTTTTCCCAGTTTCTTCTTTTTAATCCCCTGATATTTTAAATTCCTGTGATTTCTTCTGTTTCCACTTCAAATTACTGAAAGTTCTTCCGTGTTATGACAAGAAGAAATATTTCTCAGAAAAAAAAAGCACAGAATATAAGGTCATAATATAAACCTAAGTAAACAAACTTGCTAATTTTAGCCTTTTTTGTAACATATAGAATTTAATTTACTCGATCCAGAGTACCTTCAGGAAATATGTTTTGGTTTCATTTCTGAACCTGCCTACTGATTGATTTAGTTCTCCAAGAAAGATATTAAATTCATTATAACTAATATTACTTAGACTGGTTTAAAGATGTTCTTTTGCATTTGCGATGAAAGAGAGGCAGAAACTATAGTTGGGATTGTGTAAGCTGTTGAACCAAATTAAAAGCCTATTAATGTAATGTAGAGTCATGCTCATTCTGGGAGATTTCAGGTTGTTAATTAAAATAATGATGATTTTCCTTCATTTTTTGGGAATATTTTGCTTTGACACTACTTCTCCCACTAGTTCCAACAGAAATCCCAAGGCTGATTTTTCATTTTCTAACTTGGATATGTTCCTTCCCTAAACCAAGCACTATAAATAACTGGCCAATCTCAGATCTTTTTGACCCAGTCCTGGAGCTTAGGAGAGGTATTAACCGGTCCTCAACCTGTGGCCTGGGACTAGGGGAGGGAAATCAGGATGCTGTTAGCATTAGAACATGAAAAGAATGCTGGACAATCAAAAATACTTAAGTGTCCACTCTACCTATCCTCAAAGCTGGGTATACAGGGGGAGGGCTGCCCTCAGCCACCAGTTCACCCCCAGGGGCTCCTCAGCTGGGCCTTCTGGTGTTAAAGCCTAAGCCCTTCCCACATTGCCACCTTTCTGCTTGCAGGTACCTGTTTCCCAAGTTTACATTGTGCTGGACTGAGTTTGCAGATATGAAGGTCCGTGTGCCCTGTGAAACCATTGAATACATTGAAGCCAACTATGGTAAGACTTGGAAGATTCCTGTAAAGACGTGGGATTGGAAGCAGTCTCCTCCCAATGTTCAGCCCAATGGAGTCTGGCCTATTTCTGAGTGGGATGAGGTCATCCAGTTATACTGAGAATTTCCATCCTGAAATACAGGTGGATAACTGTTTTAAAAAATACGTGTCTTTTGGTCAAACATAAGTTGGAGCCAAAGAAAAAATGACAAGTTTGAAGACGCACTCCTGAGCCAACTGATTTAGTTCTTGTGTTCAGCATTTGAAAAGGAGTTTCCATGTGCCTCTTTAGATGGTAGGTTACAGTGGAGAAGCCAAGATGAGTGAGACAAATGCCTGCCTCTTTTTCCCTTCCCTGTGGTAAGCACTACAATTTTCCTTTGAGGGAAACATCCCTGCCCTTTGAAGAGCTCAGGTAAAACATGATATGTCCTACCAGGGTTTGAAGATGTCAAGTCATGTTTGCACTGGAAGAGGAGCTTACCAGGCAACTCCAAGGAAGGCTAAATGTTAAGAAGAGTAATTCGTTCCTGTTTAGGGCATGTGATTTTGTATGTTAGTGCTACTTTGAAGATTTTAGAGTATGTGTTAATACTCAAATGATCAGACCTTTGGCAGCATTAAGAAAAGATGGTATGGGGCTGACATCTGTGGTGTAGTAGGGGAAAGCCGCCACCTGTGACATTGGCATCTCATATAGGCACCAGTTTGAGTCCCAGCTGCTCCACTTCTAATCCAGCTCCCTACTTATGCACCTGAGAAAGAAGAGGAAGATTGACTAAGTGCATTAGGCCCCTATACCCATATGGGAGACCCAGAAGAAGCTCCTGGCTCCTGGCTTCAGCCAGACCCAGCCGCAGCTGTTGCGACCATTTGGGGAGTGAACAGTCAGAAGATCTCTCTATCCCTCTCCCCCCCACCCCCACCTCGTAATTCTTGCTTTCAAATAAATAAAATAAATCCTTAAAAAAGAAAGAAAAGATGGTAGCCGATTGATTATACAAGCAATTTTGAAGTGGGAATTGATTTAGAACACAGAGCATTATTCTACAAGGTAGGTAGGCCTTGTCAAGATAAGTAAATTTCCATATACTTACTACTTTAATATTTGAAATGAGAACAAAGTTTATGCTTGTGTGATGCATAAGTTTCCAGTCATGTGAGAAAATATTTTCCCTGAGTTCTGATAGCACTTACTAGCAAATCATTCAAATGGGACCATGTTATTAGAAATGAGTTTGAAAGAGAGATGATTTCACAAATCTTTAATTCATCCTCAAATTTTGTTCTCAACTATCCTAAATTTTATAATCCATGTACTTATAATTTTGATGTTAACACTAAGATGGTATTACAAACACCTCTAATATTTCTAAGTGTCCTCTTTATAGTATTTGTTTACCAATTACACCTCACTGTCATTAATTTATGGCCTGTATTCCTACTTGAATGGTATGTAAATGTATCTGTTCCTTCTTTTCTTCCAGTACTTCAGAAGGTAAATGGTAAACTTGACAATTATTCCCCACTCTAAATTATTATAATATTTAATAAGTTTGTATCCATCTCTGGTTGTTCAGTCTGCTGAATATTGTTGGGGCAAGAACTCAAATTTGCCTACTTTATCAAATACTACCATGGTGGAACCCTGCAGTTTTCATGCTCCCCTCGAAATACATTTCTGAGTGGTCTGAGGTGGCCCTTTTCCCATTTCTTCACTACTCACTTGAATGATATATTCACTTAGCAGGAGGGAAAGGGAAATGCAGACATAGTAAGCACTGCTTTGTCTGGGAAAGGAATTTGAGTCTTATGTCTTATCTGTGCTGTTTAGGACTACATTCCTCTAAAACCAGAGAATAAAACGAGTCTCAGAAACAGAAACTAGAATGTCTTAGGGAATAGGCTGACAGAGTTTCCTGAAAACAAAGTTAGGGAAAGTAACTTACAACCACTCCTCCCTCCTAATTTTAAAAACAACATGGAAACTCTCTGATAAATAATAACCAGCAGCATTCCTCTCTTAGGGTCTGTTCTCTTTGCAGAATCATAGCATCGTTTCGTAAGTACACATGGAAGTTTTTCAGAGACCTTGATAGCTTATCCTCAGGCTTGTCCCTGAATGACAGGTCATCAGAATGAGCTTTTTCTTCCTAGAAAATCAAGCCATAGAGTATATACCCACATTCTAGGGATGACCCTAATACAAAAAAACTACTCTTTCTTATATTCGAAAACAATAAAATAGATAATTTACTGGGCAAAGTCTACCCTACTTAGTAAAAACTATTGTTTCTGCCCATTTCAAATTGCTAGTTCTACTGTTTTCCAGGAGATCTTATTCACCCCTGTTCTGGTTATTTCTCTTCAGTCTGTCCCTACGTATGAGGTCTTTGAGTATCCAAAATTCAAGATATCTTGGCCCCTTGGGCAGAGGTTCCATATCTTTCCCTACAGATACCACTGGCTGCTGAAATACTTTCTTGGCCTCCTTCTGGTCTCACAGGCTTTAGCTCTTGGGTTTCACCCTAATTTGGGGGATTGAAAGCCTTTCCCCAGATTCTGAAGGCCCAGGTTGGCTCTAGCAATGATTGAGCCATTCTCAGCCACACTGCTTCATGTGCTTCTTAGCTGCTGCAATGTGCAGAGTATTCAGGAACTTTGGGTTAGGTTTGTCCACTGTAATGCATCCTCTGATCACTCTTCTTTCTCCATGCATGCTTTTACATTCATTCTCCTAATATGACCACTTTTGAGTCTAGTTTGGCCTACCTGGGGAAGACCTCTTGTTGGTAGTTAGGCACCACAGATGTCTGCAGAGAGAGCCTAAAAAGCAAGATCTTTCTTAACTGACAGCCATGCAGCCAATAAATCCTGTTTGCAGAGAGTGTTTGACCTTCTTTCCTCTGCTCCAGCTACTGACATTTGGTGCCTGGAGTAAAACCATAGTCCCCCAAATTGAGCATTCCTGAGAATACCTGGGCACTGGGATTGCCGGTTTCCTTGATAACACCCTAACTACAAACCCTGATGTGTGACCACTACATGGATGAATGTCTCCCAGCATCCCCCTAAACAAGTTAGCACTTCTGAAAATCATCCGGCTCTTGAATCTTAAAAGCCAGAAAGGGTCTCAGTGCAACATTTATTTTAAACTTATTTTATAACATGTCAGTCTAAAAAAGGAGTGATCTGAGCAAAAAAATACCTCTAAGACTAAAACCCAAGAATGCTATGACTTCAAATCCAGTGTCTGTTTCCTTGTACCCCAGCACAGCATTTTTAGCCATGATGAGACACTTGACAGAGAAGTCATCCAGTGGCACAGGGAAACTAGATTTCAGGGGGTTTCTACCTTTCCCCTTTTAATTTCTTTTATTCGAGTTAAGAACCTAAGATGAAAAAAAACCTAAAGAAAAATGTTTCCATCTTGTCCAAAAATTGTAGGCTACTTTCCTATCTTTATCTCTATAAAATAAAACAGTTTCCATTGGGAGACATCAGCCTCTGATACCTGTTTATTCTAAGCTCCAGTTGTCTCCTCTTGCTACTTTCCCCCTTGTTTTTCCCCAGGGAACCATCAGCATAGAGTTGCTAAACGCCTGTTTCTGAAGAGCCCCTCACCTTCTAAAAGCTAGCTTTCGTGAGGCTTCTAAAGCCTGTTCCTTCCTGGGGATCTTTATCTCATAATGGTGGTTCTGTTTCTTCACAGAGAAGAATAGTTGGGTAAACTAGAGGGCTTTGCAGTTTCTTGGACTTCTAAAAAACCTGCTTGGCTAGAAAGGCGATTGGAGTGTCTAGTTTGAAGTATTTAGACTGCTTTTAGTTGTATTTATATTGGTATCTTTCATGAATACAAGTAGATTACTAGATTATGGTTTTTACTTTTGAAATTTGTGGGCCCCACCCATCGTTTCTACTCTTAACCAGCTACAGTGCTTCAAATGACACCCAGCATAAGCAGGACATTACACAAACAGGGATTATAGCGTAGGTTCCAGAGCTAAATCTGGAAGACAGACTTGCAATGAACTCTTACGCTCCAGCCTAAAATCTCACCACATATCTAAAGCCTAAGGCTGCAGATTTTTCTGAGTCTCCTCCAGTTACTCCTTCCAGAAAGTGAACAGTTCTTTCCACCAAGGTATTACAAATCCCTAGGGAAAAATCTCCTCTCAAGACCTTCTCAGAGACAATGCCACGTTCCCACCTTTTACATATAATCAGCAGCTATAACAGCTTCAAGGCGTGGAAAAATTTCACTTACTAACCAAAGAATTTCTCTGAAGAAATATCCCACAACTTCTCTTTCCTCCTGGGCTTCCTCTGTCATTGAACATGAGCTAGGTCATCCCCATTATCTCCTAAGGAAGGCAGCATGTTGGCATAAAGAGACCACAAGCTTCTGAATGGGGTCCAGGTTTGAATCCCAGTGTCGTCATGTGTGGTTCATGGTGCAGAGATCCCTCAGCCTCAATTTCCACTTGAGTGAATGGAGAAATTCACTCAATAAGGATTTTTAGGAGGTTTAAATGAGATGTAAAATTTTTAGCCTCAGGCCTATGATTAAGTATTTACTCAAAAAACAAAGTACCACTTCCTACTTCCATGTGTTTATTTCTAAATATATTTGTTTATTTGAAAGGCAGAATGATAGGGAGAGATAGAAAACAATCTTCCATCTACTGATTCACTCTCTAAATGGCTGCAGCAGCCAGAACTGGGCCAGGATGAAGTCAGGAGCCAGGAACTCCATCCAGGTGTCCCATGTGGGTGAAAGAGTCCAAAATACTTGGACTGTCCTCTTCTGTCCTTCCAGACTCACCAGTGGAAAGTGAGATCAGAAGCAGAGCAGCTGATACTAAAACCAGTACTCCATATGGGAGGCTGGTGTCACACGTGGCAGCTTAGCCCCCTGCACCCCCCCCCACCCCCCTACCCCCCACCCCCCCAGCTCCTCCATGTTTCTTTTCAAATTGACTTCAGATGGAACTTATAGAAGCTTTGAGTCAGGACACTGCATTACTCAGAAGTCTTCATAGCTGAATTTGCTAAAGAAAAAGAAATCATTCTCTCAAAACATTGAAGTTAAAATAGTGTGGTGTATGAATTCAGGGACATTATCAGTTTGCCTCCTTTTTTTTTTTTTTAAGGTTTATTTTGTTTATGTGAAAGGCAGAGTTACAAAGAGAGACAGGGAGAGATAAAGATGTCTTCCATTTGCTGGTTCACTTCCTAAATGGCCTCAACCATTGGGACTGGGCCAACCTGGAGCCAGGAGCCAGGAGCATCTTCTGGGTCTCGCATGTGGATGCAGGGTCCCAAGCACTTGGGTCATCTTCCATTGCTTTCCCAGGCCATTAGCAGGGAGCTGGATCAGAAATGGAGCAGCCAAGACTCGAACTGGTGCCCATATGAGATGCAGAGTTGCAGGTGGCAGCTTTACCTGCTAAACTACAATGCTGGCCCCAACCTCCTATTCTTAATAGAACTTGTGTTTTCATTTTATTGGTCAGGTTTGTTTCTTAGGTTCTCCTTGTATTAGCCCATGTGCTGCCTGATACTTTGGTTTCAAGCAATTCATTTCTGTACTTACCTAGATTTGGTGGCTTAGACTTTTTTTTTTTTTTTGATTTGTTTATTTATTTGAAAGTCAGAGTTACACAGAGAGAGAAGGAGAAACAGAGAGAGGGGTCTTCCATCCACTGATTTACTCCCCAGTTGGCCGCAACGGCCGGAGCTGTGCCAATCTGAAGCCAGGAGACAAGAGTTTCTTCCTGGTCTCCCACACAGGTGCAGGGGCCAAGGACTTGGGCCATCTTCTGCTTTCCCAGGCCATAGCAGAGAGCTGGATCGAAAGTGGAGCAGCCGGCACTTGAATCGGCACCCATTTGGGAATGCCAGCATTGCAGGTGGTGGCTTTACCCTCTATGCCTCTGCACCAGCCCTGACTTCTTCAATATTCTAGCTTTTCCTAGAGGTAAACTTTGACCTACTTACTAGCAAAATTAGAATATTAAGTCATAATTTGTAGAGGGAGGTAATTTGGAATACTTAATTTCATTTAATTGTTTATGCTGATAAATTCTTGTATCAGTGTTAAGAAAAATGCAAATTACTCATTGCTGGGGTAGACATTTATCATGGAGGTTGTGATACCACTTGGGATGCCCACATCCATATCAGCATGCCTGGGTTTGAGGCTGCACTCCTGATTCCAGTTTTCTGCTAATGCATACCCTGGGGGAAAGCAGGTGATGGCTTAGGTAGGTAGGTCTCTGCCACCCATGTGGGAGACCTAGTTTGAGTTTCAGTGTGGTCCATGCTATCTATTGCAGACATTTGGGAAGTGAACCAGCAAATGGGAGGTAGCATATTTTTCTCTCTCTTTCTCTCTCTTCTCTCTCTCTTTCTCTCTTTGTATGTGTCTCCCATCACCTTTCAAATAAATAAAAATAAAATATAAGTTTAAAAAGAAAATACTCATTTCTACCTTCATCCCATAAATTTTGTTTCTAACTATGCAAGAAATCAGGAGAGCATTTGATGTTATCATTCTATTCTTGCTCCACATCAGACTGAAATCCTAATTATAATTTGTAAGTCAGATAGATCAATTCAACAGTGATACCTTTTGTACAGGACTAGTGCTTAACGTAGGCAAATAGACATTTTCTGATGAGAAATCTGCCTTATCAAAGCATCTAGCCTAGAATGTCCACCCTTGTCACTGCTAACCCAACTTAAAACAGATGGATCTGTTAGACAACCAACATGCTATAAACTTATGAACACCTCTCACAGGAGAGTTGAAAGGGAGCGTGAGAATTAGAAATACTTTATTTTGTTGTATAAAATGAGACACTGGCTCATATACTTTTAAAAATTTTTTTATTTTTAATTTGAGTGTATCTCATAAATGTATCACCATATCACTTTTTTTTTAAATTAGAAGATTTTACACCCTTTTGTTGAAGCATGGGAAATAATTCATGTGTTTGCTTGATGAAATCATATTTAGCTATTTGTGTGTTGTTCCTTCAGCTTCATAGTTACAGAAATATGTGTATGAATTTTCTAAACAAAATGATATTTTAAACATGAATAGATTTCAGTGTATGCTTACCAGTTTACTATTTGATTTTATCTTCAGGTACAGTTTATGGTACTACTGACAATACCTTTAATATTATTATTTTGATCAGAATTTCTAATATATAATCCAGTTTGGGAGGATGAATAAAATTTTTCTAATCTCTTGATATACTTTGTGTTTATTTTTAAAACTTGGAGTTCAAATAACAGCCACTAATAGTAACGTGCACATACAGTCGGGTAAAATAGTAATTTTGCTAGCAGTACAATACTTCTGAATTCAAATATTGGAATCCTAGAAGTCTGTATGCATATGGAAATCTAAAAATTCTCAGTGATAAAGCCTGCCAACCAAAGACCAACAGGAAAAATTTGCAGTTAAAGTTAGATAAATTAGATTATTGTAGCAAGACTAAACATTGTACCACAAGGAACTGTAATGTATTTCAGGAAGAACTAGGAAGGTCTTTATAGATTTTGAGCTATTACCAGAATTGTGAAGAGTAACTGTGGTAGAGGTGAAATATCATAGGATACGGAGTAAAAAGGCTGTGATTTGTCAAAACCCAATATATCTAAAAAAGAAAAGAAATATCATAGCATGACCAGTGTGATTTATTTCAGATATACATGGTAGTTCAGCCTGAAAAATCTATCAGTGTGGTGTGTCATATCAACAACCTAGAGAAAGAAAGTGTATGAGCACATCAATAGACACTGAAAACGAATGGAAATATATACCATGTTCCTGGGTTGGAAAACAACAGTCAAGATGTTAGTTCTAACCAAATTGATCTATATTTAATCCAGTTCCTGTCAAAAATCTTAGCAAGGTTTTTAGTAGGCATAAACAAACTTATTCTGAAATTTGTGTGGTAAATCTAATCTAGATGGCTCAAGCAATCTTGACAAACATAACAAAATGAGCAGAAAGATTTGCAATCAAAAGACCTGTATTTGTCATTACATTTACACTTGTAAGTAGTTGTTTTTATTCCTTGTTTTTCAGGTGAGGGAGCTGTAATGTAGAAATAAGACAGATCTTAAGCCTTTTTCTTATGACTTGAAATCCAGTGACTACTGTCTGTTAATTCTAGTTAACTTTACTTATCTGCAAATACATATATATATTTAAACTATAACTTGAAACCAAGCTCTTACATGGAAAGTGAGAAGGATCACTCTGCCCAGTACCAAGGCTTACTATAGAGCTGTGGGTAATTGTTAGGGGATGAATTATGCTCCCCTGCACCCTTCTAAACTCATATATTTTAGATTCTGACTCCTCAGAATATGATTGTGGAGATAGGGCCTTTAATCATCTAATTAAGGCAAAATGAAGTCATATATGGGTGGGCCCCATCCATTGGTGACTGTTATTCTTAGAGAATAGGACCAGGAAAGGCACAGAGGAGGACCACATGATGAGACAGTGAGAAGAGGGCCCTCAGAAGAAATCAACCCTGGCAACGTCTTGGTCCTGAATTCTGTGGAAACCACAAGAAAAGAGTTTCTATTGTTTAAACCACCCAGTCTATGGTACTTTTTTTATAGCAGCCCTAACAATCAAGTGCAGCAGCGATAGACACATGTGGGTGATCCTGTGCCTGGCTGGAAGACTGCCTGCCTAGCCTATGCAGGAGGTCAAGAGGGCATAGCACACCATGCTCCCTGGTAAAAACCCTGGTTGAGGACTCAGCACACTGAGACCTACATATGACCTGACTGCTGGCAGGCGGCAGGGGCCCCAGGCACATTTCCCCCACCCCTGCTTCCTGTTGAGGAGCTTTGTGATTGTCAGCTAGATAAATAGTTCCCAGATGTGGCCCAGAGCCGCAAGACCACCTGGAAGGCTACATGGGCTGTGGGATCTTCAAGCTGATTGGAGAAGCATAGCAGCTCCAGTATTGGCTTTATCCTACAGAATTAGTGTTGCTACCCTGAGCTAGCTACTCCCCTTAGCCTGCCCTATAAAAGCTTTTGCCTAAATGCTAATAAATGGAAACGTTCATTGAAACTGTCTCCAGTGCTTCTTGTCAAAACGCTGTTGCCCCAGCATCCCGACAGTGTGGGCCTTGCAGGCTGAGCCCACAGACACATAGATCAGTGAAGCAAGATAGATAATTCAGAGGTTGACCTACATGAATGTGTCAACTGATTTTTGACAAAAGTGTAAAAGTAATCCAGTGGAGAAAGGATAGCCTTTTCAACAAATGTTGCTAAAGTAATTGGACATCTATAGGCAAAAAAAAAAAAAAAAAAAAACTCAACTTGAACCTGAGCCTTCTTATATTAAAAATGAACCTGAAGGGGCCAATGCTGTGGTACAGTGGGTTAAAGCCCCAGTCTGCAGAGCTGGCATCCCATGTGGGCAGCCGGTTTGAGTCCCAGCTGCTCCACTTCCAATCCAGCTCCTGCTAATGCAGGTAAAGCAGTGGTGGATGGCCCAAATCCTTGGGACCCTGCACCCACATTGGAGACCCAGAAGAAGCTCCTGGCTCCTGACTTCAGCCTGGCCCAGCCCCAGTTGTTGCATCCATTTGGGGAGTGAACTAGTGGATGGAAAACCTCTCTATCTCTACCTCTCTCTGTAACTCTACCTTTCAAAAAAATAAGTCACTTAAAAAAATGAACTTAAAATGAATCACGTTAAGCTGGGTGATACTAATGCCATCTTACTAGTTAAAGTGATCATTTTAAGTGTGTAACTGATCATATAGATAGGAATAAGTGTCAAAGTGATCACATAAATAAGACCAAGTGTTGGCTAATAACAATAGCTAGAATTAAAGAGAATGATCCAACATGGGAAGCAGGCCACACAGGAGACTCATAGAATGACAGATGCCCTAGACAGCACTCTGATCTCAGAATCAACCTTAAGGCATTCAGATCTGGCTAAAAAGCCCATGAGAGCATTTCAGGTGTGGAAAGCCAAGACACAGTGGCAAAAAATTACCTACATGAAGGATCTCTGTGATGGAGATCCTTTTCTCTGAAGGGAGGAGAGAACTTCCACTTTGCTTATGGCCCAGTCCAAGTAAGTTCGGAGTTTGTGAACTCAAGAGATTTCCATAGCCTTGGCAGCTCATGACAAGAGCCTCGGGTGATCACTGATGTCATGAATAAGAGTGTCAATTGTTAAATCAACAACAGGAGTCACTGTGCACTTATTCCCTATGTAGGATCTCTGTCCTTAATGAGTTGTACTTGAGAATTAATGGTAAAACTAGTCTTTAAACAGTACTTTATACCTTGTGTGTCTGTGTGGGTGCAAACTGTTGAAATCTTTACTTAGTATAGAGTTGGTCTTTTGTATATAAAGATAATTAAAAATGAATCTTAATGAAGAATGGGATGGGAGAGGGAGTAGGAGGTGGGATGGGAGTGGGGGTGGGAGGATGGGTATGGGGGAAAGAACCACTATATTCCTAAAGCTGTACCTATGAAATTTGTATTTATTAAATAAAAGCTTTCTAAAAATAAAAATAAATGTAATTTGAATTGGAAGCAAAAACAAATGAATCATATGCTTAAAACACAAAACTATAAAAGCTTTAGGAGAAAAAAAGAAAAATCATGATATAGTGTGGGGAGCAACTCGGACTAGACTAAGTTACTGGAATTAAGACTTATTCTATGCATCTGCTCTCCCACAATATGGCGCTGAGAAGGGAGAAACAGCTTCTACACAGCTGCCTCCAGTTCAACCAATAAACTGTAGGACCTGCTCCTGATTGGAGGAGAGCAGCATACTCGGCGTGTGGGTAGCAGAGTTGGGATTGGTGGAAGAGGACTATAAAGGAGGAGAGAGACAACATGCACCGGGAACATCTATCTGAAAGAACACCTGTGCAGCCCCCGAGAGAGCCGGCTGGCGGTGTGCCGCTCCCCCGCGGAAGTGGGGAATGTGGCAGGGGGAACCGCCCTTCCACGGAGGTGGAAGGGACGGTAGCCAACCCGGGAAGAACCAGCAGCAAACCCAGGGAGGGCCGAGCAGACAAAAGAACAGCGCAGGGTCCTGTGTCGTTCCTCCACGAAGAAGGGGAGCGACATATAGGCCTACATAGTTATTTCTTAGACTTGACAGCAAAATCATAAGAGGCAAAACTGATATTTTCATTAAGATTAAAAAAAAAAAAACGGGCCTGCACTGTGGCATAGCGGGTAAAGCCACTACCTGCATTGCCGGCATCCCATATAGGCACCAGTTCGAGTCCCAGCTGTTCCACTTCCCATCCAGCTCTCTGCTGTGGCCTGGGAAAGCAGTGGAAGATGGCCCAGGTCTTTGTGCCCCTGCACCCATGTGGGAGACTGAAAGGAAGCTCCTGGCTCCTGGCTTTGGATCAGCTCAGCTCTAGTTGTTGCAACCATCTGGGGAGTGAACCAGCGGATTCTCCCTCTCTCTCTCTGCTTCTGCCTCTCTGTAACTCTGCCTTTCAAATAAAAAATAAATAAATCTTAAAAAAAAAAAAAAAGCTGCTGTGCAAAAGCTCACATGAAGAGAATAGAACATCAAGCTACAGACTAGGAGAAAACATTTGCAAGCTACCTGACAAAGAACTGGAATCTAGAATATATAAACTATATGACAGGGTTTTTTTTTTTTTTTTTTTTAAGAGATCCAGTTACAAAATGAGCAGAAGGCATGAGCAGGCATTTTGCTGAAGAGGATATACAGATGAAAAAATGCTCAACGTCACTAATGAAGGAAGTATAAATTACAGCCACAATGAGATATTAGACTCCTGTTAGGATAACTACAATCTAAAATAATGATATCGTCAACTCCTGCTGATCCTTTCTTTGTGAACGTTGTACTATGTGCTATTCATTTCATTATGATTTTACTAAAGAGTATCCTTAAATACTTTACATATATTCATAATAGCTAACACTTCATAATAAAAGTGAAAGGAACAATCTTTTTTTAAAATAGGTTTTCAGTTTTTGTTTTCACTTTTCTATCCTCTAATTCTTCATTTATGTACTGTGTAAATTTAATAACTTTTAAGTTTTTGGGAGTGCAGTGGGTTAAGCCCACACCCCACATCCAAGTGCCAGTTCGAGTCCCAGCTACTCTTTCTGATCCAGCTTCCTACTAATGGATCCTGCAAGGCAGCAGTGATGACCCAAGTGCTTGAGCCCTTGCCACTCATGTGAGAGATCCAGATGGGATTCCCAGCTCCTGGCTTCACCTGGCCTAACTAGCCCAAATTGTATTGTGGCATTAGGGAGAGAAAGCCACAGGTGGAAGATCTCTCTCCATTTATTGTTCTGGTTCTACCTTCCAAGTAAATGAAAATAAACATTTTTTAAAAGATTTATTTTATTTATTTGAAAGAGTTACAGAGGTAGAGCCAGAGAGCAAGAGAGATCTTCCATCCGCTGGTTCACTCCCCAGATGACCTACCACATGGCCAGAGCTAAGCTGATCTGAAGCCAGGAGACAGGAGCTTCTTCCGGGTCTCCCACGGGGGTGCCGGGGCCAAAGGACTTGGGCCATCTTATACTGCTTTCCCAGGTCATAGCAGAGAGCTGGATCGGAAGTGGAGCAGCCGGTTCTTGAACAAGTGTCCACATGGGCTGCCAGCGCTGCAGGCTGGGACTTTAACCTACTGTGCCACAGCATTGGCCCTGAAAATAAACATTTTTATAAAGGAAAAACATTTGTAAAAAAGAACTCAACTTTAGTGTTAGAAGTCAAATATCCATACCCTCCACAAAAAAGTTTTCTTTTTTATTCATTTATGGTTTTCGTAGTTGACCTTTCCCCAAGTAGATTTATCTGCAAAAAGCCTTTAGCAGCTGGTGTCATGCTTAATTCTTTATAATTTTACTTAATATGTTTCACTTCAAAATTTATTCTCTAGTATCAACAATTTGGAGAATATTTTCTAGTTAAATTTACAGGAAAGATAATAGGGTGACTAATTTTCTGAAAGGTTCGTACCACTCAATCTCTTTTTATTTAAGATTATTTTTTATTTGAAAGGCAGTTAGAGAGAGGCAGAAGCAGAGAGAGAGAGAGAGAGGTCTTCCATCCGCTGCTTCACTCCCTAGATGGCCGCAATGGCCAGAGCTGTGCCAATCCAAAGCCAGGAGCCAGGAACTTCCTCATGGCTCCCACATGGGTGCACGGGTCCAAGGACTTGGGCCATCTTCTACTGCTTTCCCAGGCCATAGCAGAGAGCTGGATAAGAAGTGGAGCAGCCAGGACTCGAACCGGTGCCCATATGGGATTCTGGCATGGCAGGCAGCTGCTTTACCCATGACATCACGGCACCAGCCCCTCTCTTTCAAGTACAATTAGAAAAATCAGTTTTGCAAGTGTGTAAGTTTGGTTTTGAGCCTAAAATGGGTAACCTGATTCAGCCAGATCCTCCTGTTTGGCAGGAAAAAAAATAAACTGACAATCTTATAAACAAATTAAAAAACTTTCCTTTTAGCAGGGTATCTTGTCATATCATTCCAGTTGTAATTTGCTTGGAACCATCTTTCCCCCATCCTAGTGGGAGACCAAAGGATATCTAGAGCATTCTGTGATACTGGAAATGATTTCTATCTATAGTCAGTAGCCACAAGTGACTGTTGAGTATTTGAAATCTGTTAAGTGTAGGGCTGGCACCGTGGCTCACTTGGTTAATTCTCCACCTGTGGTGCTGGCATCCCATATGGGCGCCGAGTTCTAGTCCTGGTTGCCCCTCTTCCGGTCCAGCTCTCTGCTGTGGCCCGGGAAGGCAGTGGAGGATGGCCCAAGTGCTTGGGCCCTGCACCTGCATGGGAGACCAGGAGGAAGCACGTGGCTCCTGGCTTCGGATCGGCACAGCGTGCTGGCCTTGGCGGCCATTTGGGGGGTGAACCAACGGAAGGAAGACCTTTCTCTGTGACTCTCTCCCTCACTAACTCTACCTGTCAAATAAAAAAAAAAAATCTGTAAAGTGTAACTGAATAAATGTTTAATTAATTGAGACCTAAATAACATTATGTAGCTAGTAGGGCTCTGAAATAGAAATCTTACAGAGAAGTTGTTACGTGGGATTAGCAGGAACGGAGCCCTCCTGAGGAGAGGGTCCTGTCCTGAGGACTGGTGATGTGAAGTGACCCTGGCCTCAAGGGCACAGGTTCAGGGCTTGTCCTTTGGAAAGAGAGGAGAATGGAGTTAAAACACAGCACTTAACAGAATTGAGTCTCAAAGACCAGGCTGAGGCGGGGGTACCAACAGTCCCAGACTTTGTAGATGACGGACAGCATCAAGGCTAGACAAAGTTCTAAAAAAAAAGAGCAGGAACAGACTGCTTGAACAAGCTACAGCTGCACTAAAGGCTGAGGTTCAACACATACCTGTGAATGTTTCAAGGCCCGAGCAGGGATATGGGTGTCAGGCTCAGACTGATCCTAAAGACCCTGGAATGCCAGCAGTTGTAGGGGCTGGGGACAGAAGCTTAGCCAGGCAGGTGTAAAACCCTAAGCAGCTCAGGTAAGAGCACTCATAGGAATTCCCAGCCCGGTGCAGACACGGAGTCCAGAGGCAAGAAGGGCTTTAGGCCAAGTGAGAAGGGGACACTGGGTGGTGGTCTGAGAAATGGAGCTCGAGGCCGTGCTGTAGGTGAGCGGGGAAATGTGATGAGACAAGGTGGGCTCTTGTACAGAGGGTTTTAGAGAATTAAACCAGGCCTCTGAAAGCCAAGGCAAAAGCCCAGAGGGATGAATCAGGGCAGGAGAGCCAGTAGTGAGGTTCAGGACAGGGCTAGAATGAGGATGTGTGGGCAAGATAAGAAGGCAGTTTTTGGAATGTGGCAGACAAGTAGAGACACAAGGAAGCCCAATGGTCAGTGCTGTGCCTGGGTACCACACTTTAGGTAATGCAAGAGAGATACAGGGAAGAGGTCATTCTAAACCTGCTGCTTCAATTAGAAACCAGGACAAGATGGACTTTTCACCGGGGGACGCCACAGGGCTTAACTGTGCAAGCTGGGAAGAGCAGAACCAAGGAAAGGAGATAGGCCCAGTAGAGATTTTAAATTCTGAATTTTTACTTAGTGCTCATTTCCCAGTTGTCTGTTCACCTCTGCAGAATATGGGCTCCAAAGGGTAAAAAGGAGTTGCTCTGAGGTTGTAGCTTGTTCAAGCAGTCTGTCTGCCTAGGCTACAGCATGAATCTCAGAAATGAGGCTGAAACCCCACCTCATAGCCTGTGTATTTCAAACAATTTGCAAAGAAAGCAAATCCCATCAGCTAAAAAAAAAAATAGATATGTTTTGGGGTAGTGCAGAACTGTGTTATGAAAAGCAATGGTGAGAGCAATTATTCTCTAATTTTCATAAGATGCCCCAGTGGGGCCTCCTGGAAACATCTGCTGGATTTGAGGGATAAGGGGTACCTCCTTCACCCACTGGTGTGTATGTGTTTGGTTTAGGATTTGTCAGTCTGGAGAGCTGAGGGCCCTGGGCAGCTTTAGCCAGGCAGATTTCCCCCACCTGCCTGAAATGCAGCCCAAGGGCGCAGAGGCCCCTCCCCAGCCCATTCCTGCACCTTCCCTCTCAGCCCTTGGAACTGTGGCCTTTATTTCAAGTCTGGTCCCCAGGGGGCTGAATGAAGAATGAGGACAGCTGATAAGCCTGACTGTATTGACTTTATGGGGCAGTATTCAATGAATTTACCTCTGCAAGGAGGCTGCGGTCTTATCTGCTGCCTACAGAGCATCTAAATCCTCATCTAGGGGACTGCTGATGAGTTGTCCCTTCTACAAAGACCAGAGAATAAAGAGGGGAAAGGGAGTCCCACCCACTCCTTTCTTTTCTCCAGGACCTAGTCCTGCCCAGTTCATCTCCACACACTGCCACCACCTTGTTTTCCCTGCTGTCCTTGGGTTTATTGGCTGAAGCACTCACAGCCCTATGGCCTTGTCAGCAGCTGGGCACACCCACGGCTGTGAGTCCCTCTAGTTGATAACTATGGGAAGAAATGCCCACCCACTTGAAACAGTGATGTGCCCTGTTTTATGCTTCAGTGGTCAACATTTGCTCTGGACAGAAACACCTGCCTGACCTCAACACCAGGTGTCTTTTAGAAGAGTGTGTGTGGTGAGGGGTGAGGGGAGGGGGGAGAGTGGTGTATAGCCATAGAATCCTGGATGTGAGTTGCCAGAGGGTCAGAATTTTAAAAAGAGGTCCTGATGTTCAAGAGAAAATTTTTTTTGCTCCAAATAGTACAATGAAATGAATGTGTCTAAGCAGCACAGGACAAATGCAACTCAGAGGCAAGGTAGAGCCAGAATATTGGATTGGGCAGATGAAAGAAAACAACTGAAAGTGACCTTTGGGGGAAGAGGCATAAATTTAGGTCCCGTATCTAGCTTTTGGGATAGTTTTTCTGGTAATAAAAATAAAACAAAAGGACAATAAATGTTAAGTAAGTATGATTTCATTAGATGCTTATCACTGCCAGGTTTTCGTATTCTCTCCAAAGCATTAAC